CCCAACCCTCCCTGATATTGCATTTGTAAAAGTCCTCCATGGAGTCTTAAAGGAACTAGGACTTCCGAGAGAAAAGAGTTAATAGGTTTTATAAACAAGGTTTAAAATTTGAATGAACATGCTTGTTGGCCAAGCGCTGTGGCCACTTTAATGTGCACATTTTCTTGCATGGTATGGTCGGTAATTACTTAAAATTTTAGGTTACACAGATAACAAGCATTTACTTATGTGTTTGGCCAAGTACTGTTGTTATCTAAATGTGAAAACATATTTTATTGTAGGTAATTATTTGAGGTTACACAGTTTGGCCTTGCTAGGACCCAAAAGGAGGGGGGGCGGAAAAGATACCCCAATTATTTCCACTTTGTTTTGGTTTTCTGTTTCACATTTTGTAAAGAAAAAACTATCGGAAACAGTTTTGAAAATACATGTTTGAATTATTGAAGTAAAGATAAAAAAATAACAAGAGAAAGTTTGGAAAGTGAATCTTCAAAATCCCCCCCAAGATTACTGAACATCTGGACATTTATGTATTGTACTGCATAACCTCCACAGTCCAACACTTCCCAAACCAAATGCTGCCACCTGTTATTCTATATTATATATATTCTGAGGTGAGTACGTAGTTTCACTGACGGAAAAAAGCGTGAATTTTAAAGCATTTAGTTTTAACATAATTCTTAAAAAATTCTTAATGTTAAATACAAGTTGACAATCTTAAAATCTCAGTTTCTGGTCTAAAAGAAAAAATTATTTTGTATTTTGTATATTTGGAATCTTGGGTGAAGCTCCTGGATGGGTTTTGGTTAGGAGTAGTTCTCAATGTGTTATAGAATAGCTCCAAGGAGCTTAATTGGGACAAAATAAGTCGATTTAACAACGCAAAACTGTCCTTAAAATTGTAGGCGATTATATCAATACAGTGGAGACGACTTTTATTAGGGTTTTGATTGTTCACAAGCTTTTTTCGAATTAAAATTTGCAAGTAACCAAAGAGAAGCTTTTTAATTAACAGCTTATCCTTGTTTCTATTTTAACATGTATCCATGCTGTTAAACAGCTTGATATAAATCAAAATGTAACTAGAAAGTCGTCTTCATTGTATTGATATAATCGCATACCACTGTAGTAAAAAAATGATTCATAAAGTCGACAACGTTTAGTAAATATGCATTCTAAAATTGTGCAATGTGCACATGGTGTTCGTGACAATTTTTTTCGCTGCAATCTTATAAAAAAACAGACTTTAAAGATAATGAAAGTGCAATTTCTCGTTACCCTCTCTTAATAGATTGTAATGTCCGATAACACTGCCGGTCTGGTACCTTTGCTTTGCCTGATCAATGTTTATAGTTTTAAAACTCAATATTAAACGTACAGTGATAACCAGAGATCTCTGGAATAGTAAGACGACTTTAAGAATCAAGTTGTAAAATTAAAAAGTCCAATTAACATAAGACACAGCAATTGTGTAAAATCTAATAAAACTATTTGCTTCGTTTCGTAACAACGAAAATATCTTCCACATTATTGATCAGATAGAGGGTTCTTCCCTTTGAGGACGCTTCTTGCCCAGTGTCCCTCGTTCCTCGTTCCTCGTTCTTATAGTTTAATTACCTGTGGCTGCAAATATTTTCCGTTTAAACGTTATTAAACAGCAAAACTTTAGATTTTCGCAGATTTGTCTGTTTTCAGTTGGAGGATTTTGAAAGTTTTACAATAAAATTTATTGGGGGAAACGATTTTAACTCTGACAGTTTATTAAGCTTCGGCCTGGGGTCATGCGAGGTCCCACAAAAAGTTCGGGCGTGTTTATTTCAGCTGTTTTTGCGTTAAATGGATAAAACCGGCAAGCTCAAGCAAATATGTTGCTGGTATCACGGTATCAGGGTATCAGGGTATCAGGATATCAGGGTATCAGTGTATCAGGGTATCAGGATATCAGGGTATCAGGGCTGGGCACGTTCTCACTTTTTTCAAGCCGTTCGTTATTTTGCAAAGAACGTAACGTTCGATATTTTCCGATACTTTTAAACGTTGACGATATCAATATTATTAACGGCGTTTAGAAATTTTAGAAATAGTTAACAGAGCTAGCTGTTAACGAGCCGTTAACTTTTTTTTGTAATTTGTAATTTTGAAATTTGAAGTCTGTAAACATTTTGAATTCGAAACACGTAAAAAAAATTAAATACATGAACTTCTATTTTCTAACAAATAAGCGGGGAAAAGCAAAGACGACGAAGAAAACATTAAAATACATTAAAAAAGTTACGAAAATCCCCTTATTATTCATTAAACGGTAATTATTTTCTTTAAACGACTATTTCTGTTATTTAACGGTTTAAAAATTCAACGGTTTTGCCTTTTGTTAACGGAACAAAAATATTAGTTAAACTCATTTTAAGAAATGTTTTCTTTAACAAGTATATATTTCCACTCCACCTTAATAACCAATACTAATAAATAACAATGTCAACACTAACAACAATTATTTTACTAACACATAACAATGACTTTATCATATATTAGCAAACTTATCCAACATAAATTTAAACAGTGTTTTGTACGCATTTCATGCAAGACTGAGTAATTAGCTTTCAGTTTTGTAATACTTTTTAAATGGAAGTAAGTTTTTTTATAAAAAGAATTGTCCTTTTTGATATCAATTTACGCTCAAATTAAGAAACTTGAAAATGGACACTTTTAAGCTCAATAAAAACGTTTAATTATTTTGAAATTTTTTTTTTAAAATTGATTTGAATCTTTAAATGAATTTTGAGATGTTTTTATTCAAATCGAATGAATTTGTTGATTGATTAATTGATTGATTAGAAGAAGCTTCTCTGGCTTATTGAGGTTGTGAGGGCCTCGACCAGTTGAACGACGAGGTTGATGACCTCCGTTGCTTGCTTAGCCATAATTGCAACCTCCTGTCTGTCCTCTGCTCCAACCAGAGCACCAATAACAGCCTCCAGAACTCCCTAGAATAAGAACATAATTTAGCCTCTGAATCTTAAGAAAAATAAGTTATAAAGGAAGTAAGTGTTATTTTAGGTGACCTCCATGCAAAATGCCTTTTGACTTTGACTTTTCTTCGAGGCCAGAGAACTCTGTACTCATTTCTCAAATGCCGTTCTAATTGCCGTAAAACGGGAGTGTACTCTGGATTAGCGTTTAGGCCCCAAAACCATAGATTCAATTTATCCAATGAGTGAGTGTGTGTGTCCTGAGGCCCGACCCCCCCCCCTTGAAAGGACACTTAAAACTACGTCTGTTGTGTCTTTCAGGACATCTAAACGTTGTCAATTTCCTTATTTTTTATGATTTCTACAGTGAATCCCAGATATATGAATACATAGAAAGAGTTTTTCATAATGTCGTATTCTCAACATATTTAAAATCAAATGCCGCGGAAAAACGAGTTTAATATATCAATTGCTATCATTCATATTTCAGGGCTATTATTTACCTTGAATTAAAAATAAAAAGCAGTTTCCAAAGAATTATCAAAAAACTTATGATATTTGAATATATGTCATAAATCGTATTCGACCCTTTGAAGTTTCTAACACCTCAGCAGATTTCTTTTTGTGCAAACCAATGATGAAAGCATTACAACTGTCATAAATTTTTAAATAAATTTCAAGACGACTTTTCATGCCCTATTGCTATGTATTTATATACGTGAGATTGACAGAAAATCTATGCAATGACGACCTTTGTGTCCAAACTTGAATCTAGAGGAAATCAGAAATAGAAATTCAATTATATTTACCTGGACAGGAGAAGAGTCTGATTTATCGTTACCGCTACCACCGCCGGCAATGGCCAGGAAGAGCTTGAGACCTATCTGCAAGATGTTCTTCATGGAGAAGGGGTCCTCACCCTGCAACAATACCAACATTCATAAACATATTTAAAAATAGGCATCATTTTGTATTTTGAACATTTTGTTCAAAATTATGGACAGCATAAAATTGAGCCTTTGCCGAAAACTCTGATTTTCTAATCCCTATATCTTTGCAACCCAATTTCGTATTTCAAACTATGAACTTTGTTAGATCAAATAATAATAATAATAATAAATATAGGGATTATAACTTTTAAGTTTGAGGTAAAGACTAAATGAAATTTTAAACATTTACCTCTTACTTAAAACTTTAAAAAATGCGAGTTCCTGAAAAATTTCAAGTTTGAGAAGATTAAGATTTATGGAAAGTTCTTAACATACGAAACGCATATAACAGTAATATATTGAATTACAAATTGATCAGAGCTGGGAACTTTAGAATGAATAACCTTTAATCCCGACTGCTTAATCCGAATATCCACTGTGGAAACTTTTAATTTTAGTCCTTAATCCACCCTTTCTCTCTCTCTTTGGATATACGTATATTGTTTTCTCCAATGGTTTAGGAATATAGTTGACCAATGAAATAAATTCTATTCAATGAGAGACCTCCGCAATTTCTAACAAATGCATAATTTGTAGATTAATCGTTGAAGAAAAATATGTAATAATACGTTTGAGATTTTTTAAACTAATTTTAACTAATGTATTAATAAATAAATAGGTGAGAAATTAAGTGAAGGCCCTTCTAGTCAACATAATCTCGAGATTATGCTAGTCTCAAGATTAGCAAAAAGAGAGGATTAAGCATTAATCCTGATATCCACCATTCTAAAGTTCCCAGCTCAGGTCTAATTACATTTTTAACTCATTTTTCGTTTTTTCAATATAAACATTTCTCCTTAAAAGAAAAAGCCTAAAAAGGGTTGACTCCCTTTTTATATCATAAACTATCTTCACAGAAGTAAACAAATTCTGTACTATTTGAATAAAAAAACGATTACTCGCCTTAGAGAATATTTTCTAATCTTTTCATCTTTCTAACTTTAGGACGTGACAACCTTTGATGTTTTAAACTTTGACTATTTGATATAAAGCAGAATTCATAGTTTAAAACATCTGATTGGAAAAATATAGATATTGAATAATTAAAGTTTGAGGCAAGTAATCAGTTTCTTTGTTTACTAAGGTTAAGATCTGAACAACTATAAAAGTTATTCATCAATTTTTAGACAGCTTCGACTTTAAAGCGTCCAAATGACTTGCTGGGCTTCAGTTTTACCTCACCAGGTTACTTTACTTTCTGTAGCCCTAGGCATATACATTCTAAAACTGCATCGCACTTGTTTCTAGCTTAAGTTTAAAAGAAGCAATTGGCAAAATACTGCTTCATTTTTGCCTGGTTCGCACTTTACTTACATTTAGATCAATCCCCTCTATTCTGTCTGTTTGGCTGGTTCTTACTTTACTTACATTTAGATCAATCCCTTCTATTCTGTCTGATTTCCTAGTTCGTACTTTTCTTACATTTAGATTAATCCCCTCTATTCTGTCTGTTTGGCTGGTTCTTACTTTACTTACATTTAGATCAATTCCTTCTATTCTGTCTGTTTGCCTGTTTGTACTTTACTTACATTTAGATCAATCCCCTCTATTCTGTCTGTTTGGCTGGTTCTTACTTTACTTACATTTAGATCAATTCCTTCTATTCTGTCTGTTTGCCTGTTTGTACTTTACTTACATTTAGATCAATCCCCTCTATTCTGTCTGTTTTCCTGGTTCGTACTTTACTTACATTTAGATTAATCCCCTCTATTCTGTCTGTTTGCCTGGTTCGCACTTTACTTACATTTAGATCAATTCCTTCTATTCTGTCTGTTTGGCTGGTTCATACTTTACTTACATTTAGATCAATCCCCTCTATTCTGTCTGTTTGGCTGGTTCGTACTTTACTTACGTTTAGATCAATCCCCTCTATTCTGTCTGTTTTCCTGGTTCGTACTTTACTTACATTTAGATCAATCCCCTCTATTCTGTCTGTTTGGCTGGGTCCTGTGTTGCGGGTCAACGTATCAATGATTACAGGGAGAACCTGCATTCCAATCTAGACACAAATAATATTTATTGGGACTGTAAGCGCAATTTAAGTTTAATTATGATCGGACATATACACGCAAACTAACAAGAGATTACTACTTTATATAGATAAATACCTCCAAAATTGTCTGAACAATACTTCCTTCCTCCTTGGCAACTGGGTTTCCGGCATCCTAGATAAAAGTTGTTAAATTATTTATTTAGATCGTTGAAACCTGATGCATCATGCAAATCTTTGATATGTCAAACTTAGATTATTTGTTTCAACAGAATTCATAATTTGAAATATTTAAGGTCTATATCAACACTGCAGGTTTCAAAGATATAGGGATTTAATGAATTTGAGCGACGCCGCTGAACTATTCCAACTGCCGGTTCAAATTTGAACCACCGATTGGCGATTCAATGTTAAAGATTAAAAACGGATTTGAATTGTTGATTTAAATTTGAACCAGCGGCGGTAGGCAGCACAAATTTAATAAATTCGGTCCAGGGTTTCTTTTCTAAAGGTAAAAAAATTTCGTTGAAATATTTTTAAAATATTATACTTGAGTGAAGACTGAGTACGTGTATCCGGTTCAAATTTTAAAAAATGCAATGACCTCAAATACGAAAACCTCCTGCCTTTGATTTAAAGAATGTAGAATGTGGAAGGAAAGTATGGTAGGTTCTATTAGAAAAGGAAGGGTGCGGGGAGGGGGTAGGTTCTATTAGAAAAGGAAAGGTGGGGGGAGGGGCGGTGCATTTAAGTTTCAACCATGAAATATACTTTTATTGTCATGGTGTGTAACTTTGTAATCGCTCCACACTGCACACAAGAGTTAAAGAGAAACTTGTAAACTGGTTTAACAAATAGTAGAATTATAGTTAAACTATAAGTAGATTCAATTGAACCACTCTTTAGCTGGAACTGGCGCACAAGAGAACTGGTTGAACCAGTGGAAAATGATTCAATTTCTTCTCGCTGTTTATTCAATATAGTTTAATAAACACTTTTCTTATTTTTGTATTCAACATTCTTATTCGTTCGTGGACGAGTTTGATAAGCTAACAGTCTGATCCTTAATCAATTTTTGATTCAAGGGTTTAAATGCATTTTATAAAGGGACTGTACACATTATTTCAAGGGATCCTTCGTTGATAGAGTGTCAAGCCCGATTAACAACGATACCAAAGAATTCAAAAAGATGAAAAGTAATGAAAAATGACCTCAATACTGTTACTGATTGGAGCATCAGGGGCTGACCCAAATTTTCTTCCAAATTCTTCAGCAGATATTCTGAAATTGTAGTGTAGTGTAGTGTAGTGTAGTGTAGTGTAGTGTAGTGTAGTGTAGTGTAGTGTAGTGTAGTGTAGTGTAGTGTAGTGTAGTGTAGTGAAAATGAAAGTATTTGAACCACTGCACCAAAGGAAAAAATATTGAAAGTAAAAGAAATGAAAAGTTCTAGAACACAAGAACTTAGTATTTTCTCCAAACCTTCTTTTATAAAACGTCTAAGTAAAATAAAGCATGAAAAATAAGTATTTAATGAATAAATACTAAAAATCTGTTTTTAGAATTAAATAACTAAAGATTTTTTTCCTGCAATTGTGTTTGTTGTATGAAAGGATAAAGTCTAATCTTCTTTAAAATACCTGAAAACCTAATTCTTTTGAATTCAATTTCTAAAAGTTTAAAAGTGATTCAAATATCTAATTATATTTTTTCCATGAAGTATTTCAAATTCATTTGGCGCAAAGAGCATTTATTTCCTTATGTATAGAAACAGAAATTCAGTATTAGCTCCCATGATTAAAACGTTGACTAGGTGCATTCAAAAACCTGACTATTATAAATAAAACCCGGACATGAGAAACAAGCGCTATTAATACATTGCGTACACTTTCAATGGCGACACATGAAGCATGACGACGCATATTTTCAAGACGGGAACCAATCAAAAATATTAACTTTAGAACAAAAATTTTATCAAAAAAATCCTTAAACTTTTTCAATTTAAATGTCAATATTTTTTATTTCTAATTGTGGTGAATTGATGTGAGGACTAAATATCAAGGTTTTATCCTTGGCAATATAATAAAACCTAACTAACTATTCACTTTAATACTGTTTACTCTTGAAATACGGTCACTAGGAAGCATTCATCATTCCTCAATTAGGGTGCTTCGCGCCCCAGTTTTCAATATTTTTTGTTGCAACTTATGAAGAAATCCTAATGCTATCGAATATTCTGATCTAGCGTGACGATTTTCATATTAAACTAAGAGAAACAGACAAAATAAACATGCTATCCGTAAACCATCTCTAGTCTAACAAAATTTTGGAAAATGTGTTTCAGTTTGTACACACAAGGCTACAATATTTACAGCAGAGAAAACATATTTTTGCCTGAATCAATCACCATCTTTTTTTTGCTAGTATTTGACCGATAAGTCGGTCTAAATTATAAAACGGGCAACATTATATTATTAAGCTCTGTCTAAAATTGGAAAGTTTAGAACCGTGACTGGTTTGCATAATTGTTTAAAGAAATACACTGCATGCACTTCTGACCCTTTGGTAAAAGTAAATTCAACCTAAAATCTGACCGCGTCACTTTGTTTGCTAGTACTATTGAGTGTCTGCTTTATTTAACCAATGTGTGGGCGATACATTACAGGCTCGGAAATTCAAATGTACTACAGCTGCCCGTGTACAGTACAATTCCATAATTAAAATGTACTACAGCTGCCCGTGTACAGTACAATTCCACAATTCTTTCTTTGGAAGCCTCTACAGGTAAAATATGGCATTCAGACAGCATGTCTGAGGAATCAGGCAGTATGTATTAAAGCCCAGCTGGTAGCCTGAAGTAAAAGATTTGTTATAGTTCTAAAAGTTTTGAAAACCATGAACAGACTAAGACCAATCCGTTTTAAAAGATTCAAAATTGTGATTTTGCGAAGATGATTAGTTATAGAAAAATCCTCTCTAAACCAGTATACTCTGCGCACAAAACTACCTAAATGATGAATGTCTAGATTGCTATTTAAGTTATCATATAAATGACTAAATTAGAACTTAAAGAGCGTAAATAATGGTTATGTGTTGGAGTGATCCGTGAAAACTGAGAGCATTATTTATATATTAAAGCTCATTATACAAAGTACTTTTCTTTTTCCTTTTCCATGCATTACGAAGTACAGATGCATGCAGATGGTTACCAGAAAACTGTAAACTATGTCGTCTTCCTACAGGAAAAAAGTTGTGAAATATATTCTTATGAATTATTTTTTAAAATGCGTCACTCTTTAACTAAGCAAAAATTGTCTAGCGCATTTTTAGAAATAAATCTTTAAAATAAGTTGCTTAGCATTTTTTATGAAAACTAGATGGAGTACCTTGGGTTGCCCAGATTGAAAAAAATTTTTTTAAATAATTATTTTTTATTTCATGTTAACCGCGGTTTCCATGGGTTCGCTGAAAAAAATCCAGCCAATTTGGTCTAGTCTTTGAGCCCGATTATCCAGCAAATGTATGCATATATAATTAGAATATATAAGAGCATTATTAAATAGATATACATTAGGAAAAAATTCGAAAATCAATCTACTGTTTTCTGGTTGTACGACTGTATTTAGCATGTTTGGATCAGTATCAGATTAGTGTACATAAGTCATGATGAGATTTTGATGTGGTTTCCCTAAAAGTCTGATTGATTGATTGATTGTTTGATTGATACAGCAAGTTTTAAGAACATGTACCCAAGCAAATAGAAGGAATACTAGGAAAACATAAATTCAAAATTAAACCTAAAATTTCCCACGGCCTTGATGCAGTTAGACAATTGTTTTCTTATATATGTAAACCTTCATAGATAGATAGATAAATAGATAGATATATAGATAGATAGATAGATAGATAGGTAGATAGATAGATAGGTAGATAGATAGATAGATAGATAGATACAAGGATAGATAAATATATAGATAAATAAAAATATAGATACTTAGATAGAGAGATATATAGATAGATAGATAGATATTTAGATAGATAAACATATAGATAGATAGATATTAAGATAGATTTATCGTATAAATTAGATAGATAGATAGATCGATGTGTACTACTTTAATCATGGTTCTAAAGAAAATCTCTGGTTTTTAATTATTTATGAGCATATACTGTAGTTGACAGCTAGATTAAAACTTTTAATGGTGTATGTACTCTTCTTGTCTTTCAGATTTTTTTTATATTGATATTTGTATCAAATCAGGATGTGACATATAGGTAATTGTAAAATGTGAACTTACATACATATAAAGTGAACGGTCTGATTTATTTGCATAAAAATTACAAATAAGCTACAAACTTTATAAAGATACCTTCTTACCTTCTTTTTTTTATCAAATTCTTTGTACGACTAGAATTTAATTTAATATTATTTTTGCAACTTATTTCTCCATCTTTCTTTAGAAATAGGACTGAATTATTAAAAAATTGCTGTATGTAATTGTTTCAACATAGGGAGTGAGAGTAGGGGGGGGGGGGATTAAGTACTAATGAGATGTATTGTCCTACAAGAAATGACATTGGATGTAGTTAAATTTTGTTTGTTCGAAACAATATCATAAGTGAAAGTAAAAACAATATCATAAGTGAAAGTAAATCATCCAACCATGATGGACGAGGAGGGGTAAAGGGAGGGGGGAGGAAAGGGATGAAGGGGGGAGGGGGTAGAAGGAAAGTGAAATGCATGAATAATAAACAAGTGCAAGAGATATGACAAGGTATATGAGGGATGGAGGATGAGGAATGGAGGATAAGGAATGAAGGATGGAGAATGGAGGATGAAGGATGAGGGATGAAGGATGGAGGATGAACGATGAGGGATGAGGGATGGAGGAGAGAATGAGGAATGAAGGATGAGGGATGAATGATGAGGGATGAAGCATGAGGGATGAAGGACGGAGGATAAACGATGAGGTATGAGGGATGAAGGATGGAGGATGAACGATGAGGAATGAGGGATGGAGGATGACGGATGGAGGATTAGTGATTAAGGATGAGGAATGAGGAGTAAAGGATGAAGTATGCCGGATGTAAAGATTAAAAGCAGGGATATTTTTACTAACTTGAAATTGAAGCAACACCGGAAATTCCTGTATTGGTTAAGCAAGTATTGATTAAGAGTTACAGTAGAGTGGGGTTAATGAATTAAGAAATAATTATGCATAAACATGCACATTTTACTTTCTGTCCTGTAGGGAAGAAAACAGGATATTCTTAAAGAAACTCCAAACATACCTTCAATTGACCTTAACTCTTTTAACTTAAAAAAAATTAACTTTAAAAAATAATTATTTTCTAAAATAACTTACAGAATTCTCTCACAGAAACAATGAAGGATTTTTTCAGAACAAATCACTTTCCGCGCTGGAGAAACCAGTTGTGATTCAGGTACATGCGCCTGTTTAAAGCAGTTGTGATCAGGTATGCGCCTGTTTAAACCAGTGGTGATCAGGTATGCGCCTGTTTAAACCAGTTGTGATAAAGTATGCCCCTGTTTAAACCAGTTGGGATCAGGTATGCGCCTGTTTAAAACAGTTGTGTTTAAATAATAATTCTACAGTTTCTTATAGCTTAAAACCATGACAAATTAAACCTGGAGACAGGGAAAGTTTAAACTTTTACTTTTGTTTGAAAAACTGGACCCGTATCAAACTTGCACAGTACTACAGGCGAGTATTATAATTATATAATAAAAATTCTTTTTAAAACTTAATTATTTATTCCTTTTTTTCATATAAGTTTTTAATCTTTTCTTAGAATAGTTGAGTCTAGTTAAGTTTATGTATTTTATTAATAAATAAAATATATAGATAATGTTAATAATTAACTCTTTCTTTATGAAGGACTTGATTCTAATTCAATTTATGTATCTATTAAATACATGAATTATGTAAAATATGAAAATTGTTTGAGATTATAGAAAATTAGGAAAATATAGACAATATATCACTGGTATGAAGATCTATCTAATACTGCAACCTTCCGATATACTTAGTAGGTCAAATATACCGGACGCACACAGATGATAGATAGATACACGAGCGCGCTAGATAGATAGATAAACGCGCACTCTTGACAAACAAGCGTAGAAGGGGATCTTGTGCACACGCACGCAGTTTCTCTTTCTGTAGGAATCCGGAGATTTTCTGAAATCAAAATTATTCACCGACGATGACTAAGAAATACAGTTGGAGGTCTGATTTTATAAATAATGAGAAGTAGTTAAACTATTTCTTTACTCTTACAACTTTTAGCCACAATTATATACAAATAATTTAACTACTTCTTATTACTTATGAATTACTAACTAGTTCAACTACTTCTATTCTAGCTATTTATCAATTCCTAAGTAGTTCAACTATTTCTAGCTATTATTCCATTCCTAACTAGATCAACTACTTTAACTATTTATCAATTCCTAACTAGTTCAACTCCGTCTTGTTATTATTTGATTCCTAGCTAGTTCAACTACTTCTAGCTATTTTTTAATTCCCAACTAGTTCAACTTCTTCTATCTATTTTTTAATTCCCAACTAGTTCAACTACTTCTATCTATTTTTTAATTCCTAACTAGTTCAAATACTTCTATCTATTTATCAAATCCTAACTAGTTCAACTATCTCTAGCTATTCATTAATTCCTAGCTAGTTCAACTACTTCTTGGTATTTATCAATTCCTAACTAGTTCAACTACTTCTAGCTATTCATTAATTCCTAACTATTTCAACTAATTTTTGCTATTTATTAATTCCTAACTAGTTCAAATACTTCTAGCTATTTATCAATTTCAACTATTTTAACTATTTCTAGCAATTCATATATTCCTAAATAGTTCAACTCATTTTTTCAATTTTTTAATTTCTAA